ATATATATATATATATATATATTTCTCTCTCGAAGATGCTTTTGATGAACTATAAACTTATAAATTATAATAAGAGAAGCCTGATTTTAAGATAGATAACGTTATCGTCTGAAAATGATAATCGAAGTTTCCATTTAGAAGGCATATAAGGTTTTAGAAGATTAATAAGACAATTACAAATAATTTATATCAATAGAACAAGAGACAAGAAGAAAGTACGTCAAGCATGTGTATGACAATAATTTTTCAACTTTATGTTGAAAGGGGAGCCTTTTAAGATTTTCAACCATGTGGTGTGTTTTCTTATGATGAAAATAGATGATTTTTCTATGTTATTTTTTAACAATGATAATTAAGGTTTTTTTTAGAATAATAGGTTGAGACAATAGGTTAGGTTATATGTAAAATAGTTTTTGCTGATGTTTAGAATGGTTAATCTGAATTAAAGAACAAAATTTTATGAATTTGGAATTTTCTCATTGTTTTAATCGATTAAGCAAACTAGCTAATCGATGTATAAATTTTAATTGTTTAAGAAAATAACGTAATCATTAAAATGGTTTGAAACACCAAATAATTTGTTATTTGTTTTAATCAATTAAAAGAAGCGCCTAATCAATTAAAACAGTGTGTAAACCTTAATCGATTATGTATAAAACATAATCAATTAAAAATGCTGCTTTTGTGTCTATGTTATATATATGTGTTTTAATTTATCTATCGGAACAAAAAACATTATGAAAACTGATCAAATTGAAACAAGAACAGGGTTTGGAGTTGTCTTGGAGCAATCTTGGAGGCACCCACCATTGATTGGAAAAATTCAAGGTTTCTAAGAATCCATGGTTGAAAAAAAGATCAACCAAGGATTTGCATTATCTTTTTTTGTAAAATCTGCACTTGTGGTGCATCAGGTTCTATTTCCTTTATGTATTCTTTGTATTAGTTTAGTCTTAGTTGTGTAGGCAAGACTCCTAAAGAGTGTCTGTAGTCTCTTCTTTAGGTTTGTGTTTTTGTTGCATTTGAGAGAGTGAGAGTGCATTGAATATCTTGTATTCCGTGATTCTGTCAAAGTTAGTGAATTCTCTCCAACTTAGGTCGTTGGAGAATGACTAGATGTAAACTCATTTAGAGTTGAACCCGTA